ACATTGGAGAGACCGAAGGACCACAGTTCCAGAGACAGTGCAATGGATGACAAAGATACCCTATTTCAAAAACAGAGCTACCAAGTTGGCAGAGTTGATCAACCAACACCTGGCAGTGTCTGGAATTATGCATCAGGTCTGCAGTAGGAAGAGTCTCAATGCCGTGGTGCATCAGAGATGGGCAGTAATACCTGTCTATTTTACCCATGGTCAGGAAGTATGGAACAAAAAGTAGCAAACCTCAAATCACAAACTCTTTGAAAAGACAGTGACCAAACATATGATGAACAGGGATGGCAAAGACAAGTAATATAACAAACATGAGGATGAAGATTCAAACAGAGGACAAGTAAGAGCATGAATGACAACATGGAGGTTCCAATCCTGGAGAGAAGCAAGGTGTGGAGGATAAGCAATGGAGAATGAGAGAAATAACATAGAGTACATGAGATTGGAACAAAGAAGCAAATGGAAAAATTTGATGTTTGTACCACCCTATAACCCAATAAATCCCAGTCAGAAAGCCAAGTGAAAAATGAGGGCAATGGAGGAATGGTAGGAAGGAATGGAAAATAACCTAGGTGTATAGACTAACAGTGTTAAGTATACCATCTACACTGGTAAACCATCAAAGAGGAAGGATGAAATAGATGGAAAACCATGGAAACTAAATGCCTGAACAGTCTGGATCTACAGGTAAGGGACTGGACTAAAGCCATGTGTGAAGATGGAATGTGCGTATGGATCGATCAATGACACACACTGAAGGAGTGTGGGAGGTAAAGGCAGAAGAAAAGGAAGTGCACACAACTCTAAAAAAACGAGTGATTCAAAGACTCGTAGAATCCTGTTGGGATGGGATAACTGATCCCTGACCAGATTCAGGACACCTGTAATAAGAAATGCCAACAAAGTGTGCCCAATATAAAAGATCCAAAATCTAAATTAAAGATACCTCAACCAGGTGTCTCCATGCCTAGTGATGTAGGACTGTCAAAATATAAAAGACTGTTTAGTGTAGATATTATTGATTAACTCTCTCAAAATGGGCTCATTCAATTTGACTGACCACATGACCTCTTTGTACTCATTTAATGTCTTTATAGATTTAATACTGCTAACTTTCAATATAGTGTGTATATCTTCACAAAATCTGGCAGTCTCATAAATCTTTCCCATACAAAAAATAATATTTTTTAGTGAAGTATTTTTAATAAAATAAAATATAGATTTGTCCATGAATATGTTGAGTATTTGTTTTAAATAGTAAGTGTGCAAAGTAATTTTCTTGTTAAAATTAAAAATACTTTTCCTCATCTCAAAAATCTCACATTTCCTTTGTGTAATCCCTAAAACCTCCTAAATGTGTTTCAAACGTTTTTTCAGTAAAACTTTATAGTTTATCTGTTATTTTCTCTACCCTATCTCAAAACAGAATAGGTCAATTCAACCGACCACGTAACAACCAAAAAAAAATCAAAATAAATTAAATTTCTCTTTTTTCTTTCTATTGAAACATGAAATTACATTTGTTTATCCTAAGTAGCTCTAAGTTTGTAACAAGGATATATCTATTTATAATTAAATTTTATTGTTTTATTGCCCTTTGTACTGTGTCTAACTTAAAAACATGAAACTATTGTAACATGAAACTACATTTGTTTATCCTAAGTAGCTCTAAGTTTGTAACAAGGATACATCTATTTATAATTAAATTTTATTGTTTTATTGCCCTTTGTACTGTGTCTAACTACTATTCACTCAAGGAACATGAAGCTCATGTTACACTAACAAATTACATTACTCACAAGCAACCACGAGTTGCTTGCATGCATGCCTCGTGAAACATTTTTATTATAATATTATTATTATTTATCTTATCTAATATTAACTAACCTAAAAGGATCTCTATTTTTACATTTTAGATACTTTTATAATTATATATATAAAGCATAAACATGAAAAGTAAAATACTTTACCAATCTTCTTTTTTCCTGCAACTCTTCACAAAACAAATGGAAAAATGACAATAACTGAATTAGAAAAATATATGAATGTAAAAACATGTGGATATAATAAGCAAATTGTGAGCAAAAACAAATACATCTGCACAGTAAGACTGCCAATTGAGAAGTGGCTAACAAATGCATGATTAAAGAGGGTGCTAGTTATAATAGGAATAGTGTTACACTCCTATTGGTGGAGGGATGATCATTTACACGTTGATATGCAGAAAGAAATGAGAGTTGCAAGGTTAGAGGTGAGCAAAAAATTTGCATAGATAGAGGGCAGTACTAGTCAAGAAAGGTTTTTGTGGGAAGAGATAAAATATTGTGACTACATGTGGACATGGCCAAGGGCCTTGAAGGAAACTCAAGTCACTAATGTCAAGCTTTGGGAAATAGAACAACAGAAAGATGTGAAACTTTTGTTGATGAGTCAACCCAATAGTTTTTGAGTTTTGCAGTTTCACCTCCAACAATCAATCATAAAAATATATATGCAGATCTCCCATGGCCAGGGACCCTAGACAGCTTGTTTTCGTCCTTTGCCTTAGGGGTGGCTACAGTCAGGGGGAAACACCAGACAGGAGATTTGTAAATAAGTAAATGTGGTTAACAAAGTTTAATCACTGAAATCATCCTTCTCTATTAAGATGAATAAACTTTAAAATGTCTCATTGTATGTTAATTATTTAATTGTAACTTTCTTCCAAACTAACCAATTCACAATGATCCACACCTGAGAGAGATGTGATAACATAACATGTAGACAAAAGGCATCATTTGATCCTTGATGGCTTTCCTTATACACCCACTCTTGAAAAAAAATAATTTAAAACCACTCTTTACTTTTCCAGAAATCACCGATTCCAATCTTATATATTTGTAAAGCACTGATCTCCAGTACTACCAATAAGCAACTCATTCTATAACCCAAACATTATTTAACAAAATAAAATTGCTTTAACTGGAGCCTAGTGTTTTCAAACATTAAATTTAGTTCCTCTCTCCCTATTGTCTTCAGAATATAGCAAAAAGAAATCAGAGGCCTTTACCTTACCTGCCCCTTTGGATAATTTTGCGAACTTCAATAAGGTCACCTCTTACTCTTCTCATCTCAACAGAAAACCAGTTAAACAATATTTACTTATCCTTATATAAGATAGCACCTTTAAATTACCAAAATCATATCAGCCCTCCTCTGAACTGTTTCCAGTAAGTTAATATTCTCTCATAAATAGAGACCACAACTGCACACAGTATTCTATATGAGGCCTAACTAGTGATTTGTTTATAGTGATAATTAAATTATCCCTTCAAGTTGCAATCAACATGTCTACAAATACACCTTAAAATACTATTTTATCTTTAGTACTAGCAATGGAGCACTACTACTACTACTATCACTGGCTTGAATACCTTATTCAACATCACACGAAGATTAACAATCTTCTGCCTTTTCTCATCAAACCTATCATACATTCTAATTAACTAGCTTTTCCCCAACCTGACTAATGAAAGTTTCTTAGTTAACCACTTAATTGGCACCTATTCAGAACCTTTTTCTAAAACCAAATACACCAAAGTCGACCCTCCTTCCAACTTCAAGATAGTATGTAACACCCTTGAAAAATTTTAGCTTATAAGTAAAGCATGAATTCCCTTTAGTGAATGACTGTGAATCTATGTTGGCTTTTTTATATTTCACTAAATAATTTTTCAAAGCTTCTTTTATCACTCTTCAAAATTTTTACCACTACAAAAGTAAGACCAATGGCCTATAATTTCCAGGTTAACTCTTATTATGCCCTTTCACCAAATAAGAATAGCATTAGCATAAATAAAAGTGCTTAAAACTTCTTTTCATACAAAGGCAGTGTCTGTGTAGTTAACATCAATATAGTATTTTTTATTTATTTTTTTACCTAATGAAAGTTATTACTCAAATTATTTAACCATTTAACATTTAACAATAACAGTTTTGATCTTATGCTTTGCTTAACGATTACAATTAACATGAAATGAGAACCAAAATCATTATTTTTTATCTCATTAAAGTTACTCCCAAAACAATTTCACAGTTACATTATCTAGCTTTTATTGTTTTTTATCTTTTAGGTGTTGTGTTTTGCTTATTTGCAATTATAGCACACTTAGGCTATAAAATCATACCATAGGAAAATAAACCTATGTTCACTAAACACCTAAATACTTCAATATTAATAAACATTTACATAGGCAATATAATTTTTTTTTTATATAACTAATATGTTTCTCCCCATGTTTGAAGTATCTTATGGCAGGTATTCAAATTACTACTTTTGAGGAGCTACAAATTTTTATCAAACACTCAGTGTTCTTTTCTTTTTGATAGTTTATAATGACCATAGAAATAAATAAAAACAAATTTGAAAGCACTTATACAGAAGAAAACAATACGGAAAAGCTGGTAGAATGCACTAACATGTCAAAAAAGGAGTCTGCCTTCTTTAGTTACATTTTGCCACTTCTGCCAAAATACACAAAAGGTATATATGTGTGTGTGTTTATACACACACACGCACGCAGTATACATACATACATCAAGATACATGGATATTTATAACTCATATCACTTAATATATTACTAAATTAATATATATCCACTGACAAAAGTAAACATTGTATTTACTTAAGTTAACTTCTATCACTAATTTTTTTATTGCCCAGTAAGGGAAAATAAAATGTCATTGGTTTCTTTATTAGTGACAAATAGTTTAATGCATCACTATAAAATTTATTATTTATATTTTATAATTTTTTTCTTCTCTGCTCTGGGGCTGAATAACATAACGCACAACATCAAATTTCATTAGCTATTACATGAAAAATGTATTTACAAAACAAGTTAATAAAATTTGCGTTATTCTTGTCTAATTGTTTTAAGAATAACGTTTTGATCTTGTGCTTTGCTTAAAATTAACATGAACTGAGAATCAAAAGCATGCTATAACTTACCTATCAGTGGAAGTGACGTTAGCATTAGTAGCATTGTTTGAACTATCTCCAAGTGAAATCTTTTTGTTATGGATCTTGTTCCATTTTACAGAAGATTTAAAATTTTCATTACCAGCTACGCCTGTAAAAGATTCAATTACTTGAAATCCCGACAACATATCGCTTGCACAACTATTTATTGTCAGAAAGCCTATAACTAATTCTACAATAATTTTTGTAATTGTTAAACTCCTTAACGCCATGTTCTGGTTGTATAATGCTGAAACTGAAAGAGTTGAATCAATACAGATTTATAAGCTAGAGTATTTGTTATCAATCATTTGAAAGAGGACACCAATTCGAAAAAAATCAAAATTTTGTGGAAAGTTTATTGGACGCCTGAATTAAAGTTGTTATACTTTAACTTGAGTAGTTCACAATACACAATAGAAATAATAATTGTTTTGACATATGCATATTAGGGCAAATAGATGTATATACAAACTTTATATGTAATATGCGTGTGTGATAAGCAGTAACATGTTTTTACCTGCCTTTAATAACATTGGAATTCTTTTTTGTTTGTTTATTTGGTTTCTACGCATCTCTCACATATTGAAGTACTTGGTACAGAAAAACCATTGAAGTTGTTTTATTCTAGTTACCTTTATGTTTTTAGTTCTTTATAACAAGTAATATCTACTATACTCGAAAGAATGTTGCAATACATCTCTGTTGAAAGGGTGAACGCCTGCAATGTCCTTTCCTGGTCGAGTGGATGATGTCTATGATTAAAGCCGATGAATGTTTTGGAAGATTGACCAGTTACGTAACGATGCTGTCGCAAACACGAATAAATGGAGTTTTATTTTATATAAGTAAAGAGCCTTGGTTCTATAGAGTTCTACTCGGTTTTCAATGTGATTAGTTGGACAAAGAATTATCTTGAGAAATGGTAAGCTGGTGATCTATTCACTGATCCAGTAGAGATAATCGTCCATTTGTCTATGCAGGTATACACACTTTTTTGTTAGTGTGAGTGTGTTTGTGAATAAAGATTATTTTCATTGTTCATCAAATGTGTCCAACTTGTTTATTTCTTATGCAACTTAAAATTTAGTCTAGTTACTAAATTCAGATTACCCTAAAAAATAGTTTTATCCTGCTGCTACCAAATGGGTCTATCCAATACTTGCGTAAAAATCACATCGCTTGTAAACATGTAAATGTATGTGTATTTTTTTTTGTTTGATTGTTGAATTTCACACAAAGCTACTCAAAGGCTATCTGCACTAGCCCCTAATTATGAAGTCATAGACTAGAGGAAATGCAACTAGTCAACATCACCCACCACTTGAGCTACTCTTTACCAATAAATAGTGGGATTGACCATCACATTATAGCACCCCAAGGAAAAAATTGCAAGCATATTCAATAATGATATTCAATTCCATGGCCCACAGGTTACAAATCGGACATTTTAGTACATAGACTCACACTTTTTAGTTTGTGAGAGGAACATTTTAAATTCGATAAGAATTTTAAAATATTTTCATTCATTTACATGTTAGGTGTATGTGAATTTTTACAACAGAATGCTGGTTAAGGAATGTGGCTAAGATAATTTTCCTCTTGCTACCAAGAGTACATTTCACATGCACTTTCCTGTGGGAAATTCTGATTTAAAGTAGAATATACTATGTAAGTTTGAACGGTGATATTTTCATTTGTGGATTAATTAGTAACTTGAGGATATATATTCTTTTATTTTTCTATTTGAATGATCTTCATTGACGTGTGTAGCACATGCACACTGGTAGGAATTGGATATTATAGCACTTATTATACGACCCTGTGCTCTCTTAGTGTAGAATATGTAAATAAAACTCCATAGTTTTAGCTTTTCTAGTTAAATACATTTTGAAATCCCATGTAGAGGCATGGTATTTTGTCTAGTTCATTAGCTCATTCACTATGACTGTTTGTTTGACTATTGAATGAATATTTATTTTCAGTTTGTTTACATTATGCTAGGTCTTCTTTTTTTTGCTTGTTTTAACTCAGTCAGTGTCAGAACTGTAATTCACTTCTTTATACGTTTCCTCATTGAACCTCTTGTTATCTGCAGATACTACCTAAAAGGTAAATCCTTGTACCTGTAAATACCACAATGTAAAGTAGTAATGAGAAATTCTTGTGTCATGACCAGAGGATTTGTTTCTGGAAAAATATTGATATCTCAATGAGTACTTTTCACTGTGCACTTTGTACAAGATGCATTACATTTTCCACAAGTACAAAGTCTTATAACCAAAAGTAAGAATCATTACTGTGATAGACAGCTATCTGAGAGTATAAGCAAGTCTTGGATGCCAAAATTTTGCTGATACTGACTAGATTCATCACTGCATTCTCAGTGCAGTTGTAGCCTTGGAAAAGAGAACTGCTAGAATCTGGTGTATTCAGAACCAACAATCAATTTCAATACAAAGGAGATGTGTGCCATTGAGAGCTGTTGAGTGATGAGGAGCTGGTGAGTCTGCAGTCTCTAAAAGACTCCCTGGTTTCACTAACCAGGGTAGCTAGATGCCATCTTAGACTAGATGAGAGAGACTTGAAGTGCTATTGATGAATGACATCCACAAAGTTGTTTGTTTGTTTTTGAATTTCGCACAAAGCTGCATCAGGCCTAGCTGTGATAGCTATCCCTAATTTAGCAGTGTAAGACTAGAGGGAAGGCAGCTAGTCATCACCACCCACCGCCAACTCTTGGGTTACTCTTTTACCAACGAATAGTGGGATTGACTGTCACATTATAAGCATCCACGGCTGAAAGGGCGAGAAAATTTTTATTGGGACGGGGATTCAAACCCGCGACCCTCAGATTGCGACTCGAGTGCCCGAACCACCTGGCCATGCCAGGCCGACATCCACAAACTTGAGCTTTTTAATCAAAAGATGAGACAATGGGAAATGAAAAGTAGAAATGGTGAATGAAAGAACTTATTTTTGAAAGCTATATTTTTAATGTTGTATGTACTATTACACCTCTGTGTTCGTTTGTTAATTTCCGTAAAAATTCTTTCCGAAGAAATATTAGCAATACAAGTCCTTTCTTAAATAAAACTAGTTTATTCTTTCTCAATAC